TAGCACAAAAATAAATTTAGGTGAAGTGGTGAAATCTCACCTCTTTTTTCACCCGGTTTTTCACCCTGTTGAATTCATTGCTTTATAACTCTCTTCCTTGGTTTCTTTTTAGTTGCTTTCTTCACGTCTGTCTCCAACTTGACTGTCTTTCTTCTTCGTCCATAATGATACCAATTACTTCCACCAGTCAATGGGTCAAATGGTCGTTCATAAGGGTTTCCATACATTCCATAAGGTCCGTATGGATAAACCACTGGTGGAGAAGAAACATTTTCTTTAGTTCCATCGACTCTATTTAAATGCATTGTTTCACCTTTCATCTGGTCATTAAAGTCTTTTGCGTGTTTTGCAAACTCATCGTCCTTTCCTAAAGCATTTTCTGACTCAGTCGCAACCAAATTGGATGCTTTATTTATGAGCCCTATTTTATTTAATCTTAACTTCTTTGCAACCCAGCCTCCAATCTTCCCTTTATTTGCATCTAATGTCTTCGAAACCCTTCCTCCACTCATTTTATTTACTGCGTCATAAGCTCCAAGTGCTTTTGCTCCAAATGCTAATGCTTTTGTTCCCATTGCGCCTAAAGCTGCCCAAGCTACCATTTACACCATATTAAAATCATCTCTCTTCAATATTATCTCATAAAAGTTCTCGTTACTGGAGAAAGTCAATGAAACATAAGCGTTCTCACGGGCTTCGCCCTCACCGCTTTGCGGTCTATCTAACTTCTTTCTTATATCATCTATACGCTTCAAAATGTCTGAACAATTGCTAACATCTTCTACAACAGTTATTTCATCATGAATGACCTTCAAGAACAAGCTCATTTAATATGCTATTAAAATCATCTCAATAATGAGTCCATCCTTTCCGTCTTTGGGTAGCACAACATCTTTCATTGAAGAAGGTTCGACAAGTCTTATGTTAAACTTACTGACAAAGTTTGTTATACTATAATGCTTCGGCGGCGAATACATGTAGTTTGAAAGACATAATATAGATTCTTCAGCAAATTCACTTATACTGGATTTTATAACAATGTTCTCACGAGACCAAATACCACCAATTGACAATCTTGTAAGCAATCCTGCTGAACCTTCTACTGTAAACGTCGATGATAACATTCCACGAAGGTCATCTATTGACATCTTTGAGTCACTGAATTTAAATATTTTCTTAAAGCAATCGTCATTATCTAACCATGCAATAGCTTTGAAGTTTTCATTCGAATATACATCTGCTTCATTAAATGTAAAACCTGACTTCTTTGCAGAGACGACTTTAAAATCTATTGAGTTTGTTTCAAAATTATATGCTATGGTAACTTCTGAAGGTAATGGATGTCCTTCCGCAGTAAGTTGTTCTCTCACTACCGTTTGAAGCTTTGTATTAAAAACTTTCATGTCATCTCCTGTATCTAAGTTCACATACACAGCAACAGGGAAACTATCTTGCTTCTTTGTTTCATCATTATATCTCAAAACATTAAAGTTCTTCAATAATATTGTTCTTCCTGCTGGAATACTTCGAACCTGTCTGATTTCAATAGCTTTCTCACCTCCTACATACTCTACCCAGTGTCTTGGATATTCATAAGTATACTGACTTTCTTGAATTTTGGTTGGTTTCATCATAACATGTTCATAGTATATCTTTATACTCTTGTCAGTTAGACTCGGTGCTATGTTCTGAATATTTCTGACTTGCATTTTTAATGGAGATAAAATGAAGCATTTAATACATGACGTAGATGAAGACATGAATGAAAGCAGTGAAAAGTTCAACAGTTCTCTTCTTCCTTTCAGTAAGGACTATGAGTTCTGTTCAAATGGTGTTTATTTCTATTGTGGAAAGATGGGTTCAGGTAAGACATTTAATTTAATTCGTCATATACTCATAACAGAGCGTTTAGGAAACGACTCTTACTATGACCAAATCATTATATCAGCAACTTCAGACTCTATGGACTCAACAGCGAAAACATTTATGTCAAAAGTTCAAGCCTCTGTCGTTAAAGTTCCAGACAGTGAACTCATTGAATTTCTTCAACGTTACATTCGACGTAAGAGGAAATATTATGCCATCGTTGAATTTATACAGTCAGGAATGCAAAAGACTTCTGAGGAGATGGAAAGAATTATTGACAAACACCACTTACGTCAATACTCAGGAGTTTACGATATGAAACGACTAACAAATTACTGTCAAAACTTTCAAAATACCCCTTCAAAAAATATCCATCAAACACTTTATTAGTTTGTGACGATTTCGCCTGGAAAAGGTTTAGTGTCAAAACCAGACTCACCATTAGCTAACATCATACTAAAGTCAGACATTACCACTTAACTGTAGCAATACTTATGCAAACATGGAGGTTTTTAGCTTTAAACATAAAACGTCTCATAACTGACTTCGTTATCTTTCAAGGTTTCTCACGCTATGATATTGAACTCATTTGGAAACAGTCAGGTATAACATTACCTTTTGAAGAAATTTGGGAAGCATATAAGTCTCTCATCTCTCCTCGTTCATACCTTGAGATTCATATCATGACTAATACCATTAAAGTCAAAAATATTCCATGGGAACGACCAACATTGTTTTAAAGTTTAACCTTCAATTGACTGATGGTAAACAAATTCCATGCATCTCTGTCGCCATTTCTGTTAATATTTTTGCTGTCATTCATATCATCCACTTCCCCATCCGTTAGCTTTTGAGGATATGCGTTAGAATAGCTGTTCTTAAATGAAGGCTTTTCACCTTTGAGAGCATAAACTCTATAACTTTCTGCATACTTTATGTTTGAACCTCCTGAGCCATCATTGACATAAATTTTTATAGGCTTCCACCCTTTGTTCATGTTCCTGCTTCTTCCCTTAGCTCTTTTGTTCAGTAGTTCTACATCTTTATACACAGCACCTGTCTCAGTGAATTCAACAATATTTTCATTCGTTAGCTTTACATTCAAACCCTTGTCGAGTATATTGTTCATTTCATACATATAAAAGGTTTTTATTCTATATGAAATGAGAAGCAAATCCATCTTAGCTGGTGCCGTTAATGTTCCAATTGAACCAACATCAAATGTTGACTCACGAACGACAAACAATATTGTCATAAAGAACTATAGTTCAGAGTGTTTGAAAGAAAAAGAACCAGAACTTAAGTCGGTGAATTTAAACACAGCTTCAAACGCTAACGCTACATCAGATGTTAAGTTAGAGTATCCACCACTGGACCAAATTCTTTCAAGAGAAGCCAACGACAACCCTTACACAAATGTTCAAACAAATCCTTCAGATAACGTAGACCATTACCTTCTTCAGTTATACCAAACAATTTTACTCAAAGACGATAAGAAGCTTTTGACAAATCTTATAAGTAAGAACCAAATAATTCTAACAAAGGAGGACCTTGAAAATGTTATCTCACGAATAACAGGGAAACAATGTGTCATTGACTATCTCGACCCTGAAATCGAATGCTGTGGTCAAACTCCACTATTCATGAAAATAGGTAACATCCGCATCATTGAAACACCAGGAACTACAGGAGTTGAGTTTAAGTATAAATATTCGAACGAGTATACAAAACTATCTACTGACTATAAGCTTTGTTTGAAATATGTTTTAGTAAATTAAAGCAGTCAGGACCTTCGGTCTTGGCGCTTTGCACCGTCAGTCAAAAAATTTCAAGTTAGCAATTTTTAATATCTATTCAAAACTTCTTCAACAGTATCGAACTCATCTTCATAATGCAAACCTAATCTTATTGACTTGGTGCAGTTTTCACTAACACAATATTTTTCTGTTCTCTTGACTGACATAACTAACTCATTTGTTTCATCAAACAGCAACAACCAAAGTTCATGACCTAATACATAACATTCATACTTTATATTTTTAGCTCTGAGTTCTCTTGTAAGCTGTTGCATTTAATATTTTCTAAAAAGTCAACTTCAACAGTCATTCGCACTGGTGCCTTCAGTTCTACAGGCTCTCCTTGAAAGTCAACAAGTCTGAATTGCATGTCTTTCAAATTATGAGGACTAATGCGAACCCATTTACCTAAATGAGTTGCTATGACAGGAACGTTTGGAATGAACATTGAATTGACTGCATAACAGAAGGATTTATATTCTACTGAACCTTTACTATTAACTCCTGAAATGCCTGTGACATTAGCTATTTTAGACTCAATGTATAAACAATTACCATAACATACGTATGGAACAGATTTCATCTCAATCGTTTTGTCAACACTTTTCAAAGGAAATGTCATATGGTATGCACCCAAAAGAAGTTGTACTCTATGACTCATTCTTGGTATCTTAAACTCTTTCTCGCTGCTGAACTTCAATGTTCCCTCAGAAGAGAGTTCGACATCTATGTTGTCAATAGTTTCTTCATTTATGAGAGTATCTATGACTCCAGCAATTTTATCTATTCTATACCCAGCTCTGTTAGGAAATGTTATAACACTTCTTTTGTCATCTATTTCAATCTCTATGAAATCTGTTTCATCTGTTATGACAAAAGTTGCGATAGTATTGAAGTCAACAACTCTGAAAGCAAGCGCTTCATTCTGAAGACCTAAGTTTGTTTGTAGCTTTACTGTCCCGTATTCGTTTGGGTCTGTACTTTGCAAATAGAACAACATTTTATTCTCATTAAAATATGACTATTGCTGCATATGCGTATGAAACAAATGAAGCAAGAAGAGCACATGAACTAGTAAATGAAAACTCAACTTTAACCATTGAAGGCAATGATTTAGTCATTGACGATGGAAAAACTAAAAAAGTCATTGATTTCGATACTTTTAACACTTATGACCCATTCATTACAATAAGTAAAGTTCCTATCATAAATGATGGAACGGTGCAATATATAAATTCTACAGTAGATGCCTCATTTGTGAAAGTATTAAATGTTCTCATTGAATTGTTAAAGAGCTTTCGATTTGACGACAACATTAAATGCCTAAAGAATTTAGTCATGAATGAGAAACAAATTCTCGGCGTTGCTGGTAGCAGTAATGATGTACACCTTATGACATTAGAATATTATAACGAACATAAAGATGAACTGAAAGGAGAGAAGGGTGACACCGGACCTCAAGGACCACAAGGAATACAAGGAATACAAGGACCTCAAGGCGAAAACGGTTTGGATGGTGAAGATGGAAAGGATGGAAAAACTGCTAAATCATGGATATGGAACCTTATAAATACTGGTTTAACAGCTGCTTCATATGAAGTTCTTCAATACCAAATCGGAAAGATATGGGCAGTACTTGGTGAAGAAGCTTTAGATGACGTTAAAAATGCTTTGAACTTCATTTCAAATGGTTCGGATACTATTAAAACTTTATCTGTTTGGATGCAAGAAACAAGGAGTCAAATAGATACTGTAAGACGTATAGCAAACAATGCACGTACGGGATTGGATACTTTACGAGAAGCACAAAATACACTAAAGGAAGCAAATGATATTCTTGGCTCAGTATCAGACATGCATGAAGATTGGCTTAAAGGTATTGACAAATCTTTAAAAAATCACAGTCAGTCTATTGCTGACTACAAGAAAAGTATAGATTTTTTACATAGTGCTATGGACGTACATGATGGAAGCATAAGGAACTTACTTAATGCTAACAATAACTTACCAGGAACTATTAAAGCATTTATAAAGTCCTTTGTAAAACCTGGTGCTCTAACATTTAGGTCTTTGAGAGCAAGAGCATTGAAGTCAAGAGATGCAGAAACTCCAACAGAAACTCCAACAGAACCTACAGAAGGAACTGAAACAACAGAAACTCCAGAAGAACCACCAAAACCAACAGCTAATGAAATATTGTTCGAATATTTTCCAAAGTACTCTGTTCTCATTGCATACATTCAAGAAATACTTAAGAAAGCAGACTTGACTTTAGGAGATGATGAAAGTTCTGTATATCTTTCGTTCCAGTTTCAAATAGCAAAACTTTTGAGACAGATATGCTTAATGTATGACAACATCTCTGATTTCGCAAGATATGATGACGACCATGACCCCGAACACGGTGAAGAAGAAGTTTTATTGACACCAAAGATGGCGAAGTGGATGTTCTTCAAGAGCTGAAGAAAAATACTTCTGAAGGAGGTGGTGGTAGGCATGAACTTGAAATAAATGAGATAGAAGAGAAATTAGCCGAAAAAGCAGATAAAAACCATGTTCATTATATAAGTTCAGATGAACAGATTATAACAGACTACCACGGATATTTAACACAGGATGAAGAAGTGAAGACGAAAGATGTTAATGAAAGAAGATATAAATACATTCGTGCTGAAGGTTATGACATACGCTGTACTGTACAGTATGACACAGGTAAAGCACCAGAAGCATTTGGTTATAACAATGAAATTTATGCCTCTAGTTTCTTTGTTAACGGTGTATTAGTTGAACCAAGATTTACTTTGAGAGTTAAGGCAAAAATAACTTTTGAAGATGCTATTAAAAGTAAAGCTGACAAAGATGAACTTGACGCAACGAACAAAGTTTTGAAATCTCATAAACACAATATCTCCGATATAAATGAACTTCAAGCTACATTAAATAGTAAAGCTGACAAGAACCATACACATGAATCCTTCACTACTGTTAGAGCAGACGACATAATATTGAACTATGATTTGGGTTCAAGTGCACCTTTAGAGAATCCGAGTACAAGCGTAAAAGATACACTAAACAATTTAGATAATAGATGTATGAACATTGAAGGTCATGTCAGAAACTTTGAAACACATGAACTACCAGCAATGTTAGATAAGAAAGCTGACAAAGATGAACTTGACGCAACGAACAAAGTTTTGAAATCTCATAAACACAATATCTCCGATATAAATGAACTTCAAGCTACATTAAATAGTAAAGCTGACAAGAACCATACACATGAATCCTTCACTACTGTTAGAGCAGACGACATAATATTGAACTATGATTTGGGTTCAAGTGCACCTTTAGAGAATCCGAGTACAAGCGTAAAAGATACACTAAACAATTTAGATAATAGATGTATGAACATTGAAGGTCATGCCAGAAACTTTGAAGCATACGAACTACCAGCAATGTTAGATAAGAAAGCCGACAAAACAGAACTTCAAACAATGAAGACTCAGATTCTTGAAACCATATATCCTATAGGCTCTATTTATACGTCAATGAACTCAACAAATCCGGCAAGTGTTTTAGGTTTTGGTACGTGGCAGCAGATTGTAGATAAATTCTTATACTGTGCTAACTCTTCAAAGCAAACAGGAGGCTCAAAGAAAATTAAAGAAGCAAACTTACCTGCGCACACTCATACAGGAACGACAAACCTTTCTGGCGACCATAGCCACTCATTAAGAGACCACCCATTATACAACTCAGACTATAAAGCTGGCAATGACGTTTTATCTCCATCTTATAACAATTCAGCAAAAAAGACTTTTCGACCAACTGAACCAGGAGGAAATCATGTCCATACTTTCACAACAAATCCAACAGGCTCGGGTGAAGATTATATGCCACCATTTATGACGGTTTATGCATGGTACCGCGTTCAATGAACGCGCTTGAGCCTAGACCCTTTGGGTCAAGGCTTACCATCTTGAATAAAATCTTTAACTTTACATAAATGAGCTTGAAAGAAGTATTCGAACAACATCCATGGAGGTCATTTAAGAAGTTCAATGAAGCTGCAAAGAGTTGGGGATTTACTAACAGAGCTGAAGTGAAAAGGTTCTTTGACAAAAATGTTGTACATCAAACAAAAATAAACCCTTACGACTACTTTTTACCAATTTACTCCAACGCTCCTGACGCATACCAATTTGACACTCTCGTTCAGAGTAAGAAAGGAGGACATAAACCATTCCTCATCTTCATTAATGTTAACACTCGCAAAGCATATGCATATCCAATGAGGAATAAAGGAACTCGTGAAGTGTTAAGAGTTTTACAAAAGTTTGTAGCAGAACATAGCCCAAGTACTTTAACATCAGACCAAGACGGTGCATACCTCAGCAATGAAATCACAGATTTTCTCATTAAGCATAACATAACTCACTACACTACTGAAGACCATAACCATAACATACTCGGCATCATAAACCGCTTCATAAGGACTCTCAGAGATTTAAATCAAGAGCGAGACTTTACCGAAGAAACAATGAAACATTTTCTCGAAGTATATAATTCCTCAACACATTCTACAACAGGACATACACCAAATTCAATGACACAACAACAAGAAGAAAAGTATATACAAAAGAAACGAAGCCAAACACAAAATATCAGAAATTCAACACAATTTACCCTCATTCCTGGTACAAAAGTTCGTGTAGTTCTTGACGACAAACCGTTGACAAAGAAACGTTTAAGGTTAAGTAGAAACTATTATATCGTAGACTCTACGCAAGGTAATGGATATCTTATAAAAGCTGCTGACGACTCCATTGCGTTTTATCCTCGTCATAAATTAGTTGAAAGTAGTAATGGCAAACTTGCTGAAACTATTGACGAAGCAAAGCGAGGAGTGGTTATTGAAATACTTGGCTATAACATAAACGATGACACTTATAAAGTAAGATATGAAGGAGGCGTTGAAGATGTTATACCATCTAAGAACTTGAGAGAGTCGAAGCCAACACATCTGGGACCATTAGAGCGGGAGTACTGGAAAGACAAAAATATGCCAGAAATAATAAGAAAATTCTTCTAAACTTTTTCATTAGATGTAAATCAGACAAAAATAATGTTTAGGTGAAGAGGTGAGATTTCACCTCTTTTTTCACCTGTTTTTCACCCTCGTGAATTTTCATGAATTTCCTTAAGATAGAAAAAATAAAGTTAGTTTTATTTTTATTTATTTTTTTATTTTGTATAAAAGATATGATTTCAACAATCGCACAACAACAATTCAAGCTGCGAACGGCGGGACTCTGTCCACAACTACAGCACCAAACTCGTTAGTCATGAATCCTACGTCAATGTTGATAGAGATGAAAAGCTTTATTCCTTCTTCATATACTTTGAAACAGAAATCCAGAAGATAAAGCAAGAACTTTTAACAAGTAATTTAGACTGTAGTGCGAAAGATGAAACAAATGAACAGTATCTTTATGAAATGGAGGACCTCATCGACCATTTGCCTAAACTACCTGAAATTCAGCAGCAAAAACTAACTATTCCTGAATTCGACGAAATTGAAGTCAAAGCAACTGACTCAGTAGAAATTAAGAAATTCATACGTAAAGTAAATTATGAATTCCTTGGTTTTCATTGCAACCATAAAGTTATGGACAAAGATTGCGACATGGTTTATAAAAATATTTCTGACCTTTACAAATCCGAAGAATTTAAGACATACGATAACTTTGTTTCATTAGTTGCAAAATGTGTTTGGGAAATAAGAGATAAAGATAGAAGAGGCAAAGTATGGAACGAACAAATAAGACCCGCTATGTTTGAGATGAAGAGAGCAATTGACGCTTTAGTTGTTTTAGCTGGTAATGTTTCAATGTATAACGCAAAAACGATGCCGCAATGTTCAAAATGTAAAGCAGCAATAAGAAAATATAACTACTCAGTCAAAGAGATAGAAAGAATGCGAAACGACTATGCAGACTTAAAGAAAGAAGCAGAAAAGCCAGCAGAAGATAAAATGGATATTGTTGAATTTCTTAATAAAAACTATCCAACAGCAGAAGATTTCCTTCTGTCTGACGTCAAGAAGAAATATAAAGAGACTTTCGGCATGATTAAAACATTCAATGTACTAAAAGAAGAAATAGAAGCTACGAAATTGTTTAGGATTTCAAATATACATCGTACAATTCATGTAAAACGCTTGTGAAAAAATAGGTGAAAAAACAGGTGAAATCTCACCTCTTCACCTAAATTATATTTTTGCTGAAAAATGACCAAATTTCATGAATTTTCATAAAAGATAAAAATAAAGTTAGTTTTATTTTTATTTATTTTTTTATTTTGTATGTAAAGACAGTAATGTCAACATCAGAGAACACAACAACTGCTATCGTTCATGAAGCCATCAATGAAGAATATGAATACATACAGTATAACAAACAGTTACGTCTCATTCGTTCAGTCAAAGACGATATGTACCAAATGCAAAGCAAGCATATCATTGGTTTGAAAACCAACAGACAAAAGAACTTTTAGAAGAATTTCCTCATATGATTGCTTCCCTCGGAAAACCGAGGGAAGAGATTCCATACGAAAATCGCAAGAATTTGGCTCCTTGTTTGAAAGGTTATTATGTTCATAGACGTTTCCGGAAAACATTTAATTAAAGCAAAAATATATTTTAGTTGAAAAGGTTAGATCTAACCCGATATCTACCCTCATTTCTACCCTCAGCCGCTAAGCGGCGAGACCCAAAGGTCTTGAATTTTCATGAATTTTATATATTAATGTTTTCGTTTATGATTTCGTAAATGTTTTCAGTGTCACCACGTCACCGTGTGTCACCAGGTTAATTAACTTCTCTTAAAAATGATGACAACATGACATTTAGACAACATCAACAAAGGAAATTAAATCGTAAATGTTTTCGTTTATGATTTCGTAAATGTTTTCAGTGTCACCACGTCACCGTGTGTCACCAGGTTAATTAACTTCTCTTAAAAATGATGACAACATGACATTTTGACAACAGTCCAGGAAATTTGATGCAGTCCAAAAATAAAGTTAGTTTTAAAATTATTTTTATTTTTTTATTCCTATATAAATGACAGCAACAAACAACAACAGCAACTATATCGTTTCTGATGAAAAAGTTATTGATTCATTAGCTGAGGAATTAGTTGTGGCAGAAACTAAAACCCTCAACGAAAGAATTGGTGAAAACAAGATTGATTTACATAACTACCTCAAACACGATGGAGGAAGAGGAAGGAAAACTGGTATGGCTTTATTAGTAAATAAAATTTCAAATTTAACGATTATAGATGTTGATATCAATAAATCGTACAATGATAAACTTAAAGAAACAGTTAGAAAAGATATTTTATCAAAACTTTCGGATAAAGATGTTATCGTTAAAACCGCTTCAGGAGGTCTTCACATTTATTGCAACACTAATTTCTTCTATTCAGTTTCGAACAGAATGATTAAATGCTATTCCTGCAATGATTATGATATTGACATAATGACTTCTATGGATGATTCAAAGCGTTCTTTAGTAGTTATGGCTGATTCAAGAGTTCGCAAGAATGCAACAGAACCAATCAATACATACTCATTCATTCGTGGAAGTTATGACTCGACCATAACCAGAACAGTGAATGATATATTAAATGATTTGAATATTAAGGTAAGAGTTGAACAAAAGAATGAAGAAATAAAGACTATCATGAATGAAAACAAAGATGTAAACATTGACGATAAACTTGCCAAGAGCATAGTTGATGGCATCAGTGATTTTGAAGTACATAATGACGGTGGAAACATGAATTTAGAAAAAGAAGTTACATTATTCACACTGTTTCAAGCAATTAATTCGTTACCTAATCATTTAATTAATGAAGCATACGATAACGTTTATAACTTCTGCAGTTTAACAGAAAATGCAAAAAGTAATTTTGAAAAAGCACGTAGTAGATATGCACATTTAATGACTTCTCCATTTGTTTTAGTGAAGATTCTAAAACTATATCAAAAGGAATATTATGATGAATACGTTTTACCTTTATTATGTAAGCCAAAAATAACATTTGATATAAAACTTGATGACTCGTTTTTGATAACAGATATTAGACGCAAGGCTGAAAATCATCAGTATAAAAACAGTTCTGAAGTAATTGAGGATTTATCACGTGTAATCCGTTTTGTAGATTGTGGAAACAAATATTTCATTCAAAAGGACTATAATATCCACGATAAAATGAATCAAATATCATTCGTTCTTCAATCAAACATGAAAGAGTCACTCAAAATGATTAAATTATTTAAAGAAGAAGGTAAAACCAGAACAGCATGGGACGTACTACTAAATCAATTATCCTCATTAACCGTTAAGGGTGTTTGCTTTAAATCTGATTCTCCAGATGTTTTCTCAACGTTTCAGGGTTATAAATACAACGTTCTCGAAAAACCAGATTACTCAAAAATTGAGATGTTTATGAATTTCATTAAAGAAACCATATGTGATAATAACGATGAAGTGTATAAATACCTTCTCGGCTGGATTGCATCAATGATTCAACATCCTGGAATCAAGAATGAAACAGCAATTATTTTGAAAGGACTTCAGGGAACAGGTAAAAACAGATTTACAGACATTATTTCTGAACTTCTCGCTGGTTATTCATGTAAAAACATTACCGAAATAGGTGAGCTAACGGGTAATTTCAATTCAGTAGTTGAGAATAAAATGTTTCTTGTACTTAATGAACTCAAGAATGTAGGTGAAGACAGACTCGCAAACTTCAACGCTTTGAAATTAATTATAACGGATAATGAGATAAGAATTAATGAAAAGAATCAATCCAGAAGAACTGCTCAGAACGTTGCAAACTTCATTTTCGTAACTAATAACGTTTACCCTGTCAAAATTGAAGTTGGAGACAGAAGATACGTAGTTTTAAGGGTTAATGGTAAATTCAAGGGTCAATTTGATTATTTCAAGAATTTGATGAATTCATGCACAAAGGAATTTTATGATAATTTACTAACATATTTTATGCAATATGACCTTTCATCATTTAATGTACGAATCATACCGATGACTGAAGCCAAACAAGATTTAATTGAATTATCAACAAATCCTTTAGATGTATGGATAAATACACATTATGATGAATTGTGTGCAGGTATGACATGTAAAAATGCTCTATTCTGCAAACCATCAGACATGAAAGACAAAAACTTTCAAATGAGCATTAAAGATAAATGTGAAAGGAAACAGAGAAGAATAGACGGTAAACAAACATGGTGTTATGTTTTGAAAGAAGAAATGAAAGGATTATATAAACAGGTTGAACCAAACGAAAATCACGATTCATTTACTGACGATGAAATACCTGTAAATGAAGCTTTTTAAAGTATGATTTGAATTTATTTTTGCATTCAACCCAGGCTGTTGTCAAAATGTCATGTTGTTATCATTTTTAAAAGAAGTTAAATAACCTGATGACATGGTGACGTGGTGACACTTTCAGTTCTTCAAAAATAATTCATAAATGCTGCATTCTCTCCTAAAAATATTTTTGCATTCAACCCATGCTGTTGTCAAAATGTCATGTTGTCATCATTTTTAAAAGAAGTTAAATAACCTGGTGACATGGTGACGTGGTGACACCTTCAGTTCTTCAAAAATATATTTTTGCTCAAATAACGTCAGGGTCAATTTCATTCTGACTTCGCAGAAATAACACCTGGAAAACAAAGTTTAGCATACAAGTCAATATTTTGTGGAAAGAAGACCTACATAGACTTACTCACTAACGATTTAAATGAAGTTGCATTCCATGCACGTTGCAAAGGTGTCAAACAAGACGTCCTTGCTTTAACAGCAAATGAAATGTTTCCTGAAGCTATACAATGCTATTACAATGAAGATAAGAACATTCACATACCTGTTGGAACATATGACAAAGACTCTGAGTTCAGTTTAATGAAACTTTACAAAGCACTTTATGACGGTCAAGAGATTGGATTTGACTTATGTAAGTCTTCTAGTCCTTGCTTTGCTGAAAAGTTTAACTTCTCAATAACGACTAAAACAAGCTTTATTCGTAAGTTGAAGTTCTGAGGTCATTTATTTTTGTCAGCAATGAGGTCATTCGTGATAAAAATAAGCCGCTAGCGGCAAGGGCGAAGCCCATGAGGTCATATATTTTTGTCATTTATGTATAACCATTGTCTCTCTTAAACTTTGCAATAGACAGCTTTGTTCTTCTTCCTTCTACATCTGTAATGTTTATATAATCTTTGTTATACTGTCTTAAGACATTCATTCGTCTGTATTGAGTTCCCATGAAATAGTAAAAGGCATCTTCACTTGGGACATAGTAGTAGTTCTCTAACGTGTGATATGAGTATTGTATAATTTCAACAGCGTCTTCAGGAAGAGAGTCAACAATGTCAAACCAATAGCCATTTGAACCAGAAATATTTCTCATGTTTTCTCTTCTTGTCGTCCATCTTAAGTTCGAGATATGAAAGTCTCCTCTGTCTCTGTTTATATGGTCTACTTCACGAAGTCCTTCAGGGTTCGGAATGAAAGTTTCTGCAACTATTCTATGTTTCATCAGCTTGTGTTTGTTTAAATTTACACAAATATAACCATCTCCTTGGTCAAACTCACTAACAACTCTTTTATTGCTTATACGTCTAATTGGATAAGGGTACTCTGAAAAGATTTCATAGTCATTGTCATGTTCGAGTGTTTGCCAATGTCCTTCACCTTCCATGCCTTTCACTCAAATAAAATTTTCAGAAAAAATAAAACTAGCGTAGATTTTACAATACTGCGATGGTAGAGTTTAAGAGTTGTGCTTCAATGTAGAGACAGTCCTTATGGTCTGGAGGTAAGAACACTGGGCAGTTATGGTCATGAGTGGAGAACATGTCTATCCAAAACTCACGATTGAAGCCAGTTAATTTATAGTATTTAGGGTTAGGAAGTGGTGAAGTTCTTGTATGACCAATGAACTCATTTTCAACTCCCTTACTTAAGTTTGAATATAATATAGCTTGCTTTCTATCCCAAATGCCAGGTGTTACAATCTTTGAAAATTCATTTTTCCTCGGAAGCATTGCATCATAATTGAAAACATTTTTGAAATCATCACTTGGTTCAGAGATTTGAAATCTTATACGTAATGGATTTTCTTTCTTTTAGCTACTTCATTGAATGGTGAATATATAACAAACTGACAGTCATGAGTTCCATCTTCATTTTCATTAAATTCATAATGAAAGTCTATAAGTTGTGGCTGACTACCTTCTTCTTTCAGTTGTGCAAGAAACTCACGTAAAGGCTGTAAAGTTTGTACTTCAATGTTGAACTTTTTTCGAACATCTCATTAAATGAAATCATACATTGCAACAATGTTGTATCGTCTTTAAAGTATTTGTATATGTGAATGTTTTGGGCGCTTAAAGACTGTTCGTCATTTTCTATCTCGACTTGAAGTATAAAGTCAACCTTTCTGAAAGCACGTGTTATATACATAGATGTTATGCCAATGTACTTCTCTTCATTTATGTTCACAATCCAGTCTGTTGGAAACTTAAACGTTACTCTGTTCCCCTTTATTTTGACGTCAGGGTTTTCACTACTGAACGCAACAGATAAAGGTATTTGTCTATACATTTAGTTCGGATAAAAATAACCCATTTACTCTTTCTTTGCTTCAGCTTCTTTAGCTTCTTCTCTAGCTTTCTTCGCCAGCAAACGTGGGTTCTTCTGTCTTCCAGCAGCTAATGCAGCAAGTTGTTTTTCACTAAGTTTTCTCTTTGGTCTCTCTGGCTTTTGTTCTTGTTTTTGTTCCTTCAGTTCGGATAAAATTTGCTCACGAATTTCTTTCTTCAATGCTTCAACATCTATGACCCCTTGGGTCTTGTCCGTAGGGCTTGTCTGAGTCATTTGACTGCAGATAAAAAACAAAATTAAAACTTTAACCGATGTAAAATGAGCTTGTCAAAATCAGAGCGAGAGTCTATTATATTAAATGACGCAAGAGGAATACAACATCCTTTCTATTACGTAAGTCAGAGTAAAGATGGTAAAATATACGTAAGAAAAAGAAAGGTTCCATTAGCGAATGCAGAAAGCGACAACATTAAGGTGCATGGCACCGAGGGCGAAGCCCATATAAAACCTTCTGTTCAAACTGAAAAGTCAATAGAACCAGAAGAAAAGAAGCCAGATGTACTTTCAATAACGAACCAAGAGCTTATTGCAAAGTTCGTGAATTTCATTGAAAAACAAACCGAGTCAAAGAATCCTGACCCGCCAGTGAAAGAAGTTGAGACAAAAGAGAATGTACAGTTCATTGAAAATGTCAAGAAACAACTTCCACCACGAATGCCAAGAAGAAGAGTGAGAATAATGAAGTAAATAGATATTTTTATCTGAAGTAAATACATGCAGAACGAACAGTTAAACGAATTTACTCCAGCAGAGCATATTCATCAGATTCGCTCATATTTCGATATCATAGACAATGCAGTTCAAATTGGTGACACTAATAGAAAATATTCTGACGCAAAGATTCCATCACAACCTGGAACTGCTAAAGATAACACATGGGTAACATTCAATCTCTCACCTCCTGGTGAAAATATGTTGGACCTTTACAATACATTCATTACGTATAAAATGGAAGGTCAATTTATTGTAGATAAAGAAATTGGTTCAGGTTCCAATAAAACAAACCCACCAGGATTTTGGATTGGTTTCGATGACGCTTTCTATGCAGTTGCTGGATATCAAATCCTTGCAAATGGTCGTATCGTATATTCTCAAGACAACGCAAGAGAAGAAGCATATATAACTTCAAACTCACAAACTACCGAACAAATAAAGAAAGTAGATGTTTTCTCAAAGACTCGACATGAAGATGTATGGAGTCATTCGGGAACATGCAGAACAGGACAAATTGTTAGTGGTCCAATTACAGCAGGAAAATCATTTGATTTTAAGCTTCGTTTAAGAATTCCTGTTAGAAGATTCCTTCCATTAGAAGCTATTCGATTTATTCCAGCTTTTGCAGGAAACATTCAGCTTAAAGTAAAGTTCAGTAGCGACGCCTTACAATGCACATCTATATCTGTAAATGATATCATTGCTTTCAATCCAACTCTTAAAGTTGCATTTGCTTCAGATTCAAATCCACCGACAAATAAATTTGTTCCATGGAATGAACCATTCACTATGATAACGAAGGCAGTAGAAGCTAGTGGAACAGTTACTATTACAACTGTAACCCAGCAACTATTTCGAACAAAGATGGATTTTAATGAATGTTTCATTCATCCAAAGTCATTCTCTTTAGACCCTAACATTTATACAGAACTTGTAGAACATTATACAAACGAGGCTTTATGTTTTCCTGTTAAAGTTATGGATTGGATTCCTATGGACGGTTCATTCTCAAAGAATACAGATAGTTCAAGTGCAACATTTACAGCAGCTTATACGCCTATTAATGTTAAAAGTATTTGGGCACTATTTAGAAAGAAAGACAACTATTATGTTAATTTTGAGAACCCTAAGTTTAAATATCTTCAGCTTTCCATGGGAGCTTATGGAAATATGCCTGCAGAACCCGAAAAATCATATGGACCTGTATTTTATGAAATGGTTGCGAACGCCTGCAATACAAACAATGATATGATAGGATTTAATGAAGATGTTATGAGGTCATTGGTGGATGATGGTAGTGTGGAACATAAATGGGATAGCTATGACAACACACATTTCTTATGTGGTTTTCCAACAGAAGTGGACTTTTGCTTCCAGCAAGGTCAAACATCTACTGCTCCAATAACATACAAATTGTCTGTTAAAGGACCTATTGAACTAGCAACTGAAAATGTACCAAAGCCACTTATTGGATTTATGAGGGATTGTTGCTTTGCCATTCAGGTGCGTGCTAATGGCATCCCCATAATAAGATTAGATGACTATAACATAGCTACGGACGACAGTGAGGAATAAAGGATGAACGTTTATTTTTAAAGCTTATAAATGAGTTCTTCATCAAGCTCTCGTGAACCTTCACCATCTATGAAACAAACTTTACCAAACGATTATGGAGCACCTATTGAATATTTCTTACGAGCTGCACAATGGCAAAAATAGCATTTGGTCAAGTCCTTATATAAGATATGGTCTCCCACTAGGTTTGCTAGCTACAGCAGGAGCAGTTATAATGTTGAAAAGAAATAAAGCAAATGTTGTAAATAATACTGAAGTAGCTGAAGTTAAACAAACTCCAACACCTTCGCCAAAACCAACGCCTTCACAAGCAAAACCTTCAATGACTCCTGAACCTATGGAAGTACAAACTCCTGTTCAAAAGTCAACTCCTAAACCGACTCCAACATTTAAACCAGAACCTACTCCTCAAATAAATCGTAAAACTCCTGCGTTTCCTTACTGAAAAAATAACGTTATTTTTATTTAATATTAAAATTTTTATTTGATTGAAATGACAAATAAAGTCACTGAAGCAATGAAACAAAAGTTCTTGGTAGAATACATTAAATCAGGAGCGGTTCCAGAAGGTTTTTACATTCATACTATGAAGGATGGTAGAGTTCAGTTTAGAAAGATAAAGCAACCATTAGATAGAGAAGGTATATTAAGGAAGATTAAACTTCATGAGGACAACATTGCTGAACTTAAGAAGAAGTTAGAAGAGTTGGAGAAAGGAAGAGAGTTATAAAGCAATGAATTCAACAGGGTGAAAAACCGGGTGAAAAAAGAGGTGAGATTTCACCACTTCACCTAAATTTATTTTTGTGCTATGTTTTCATACGTGTGAGGGTGGTGATATCATTTATTTTTAAGTTTATTTTTATATAAATGACAGAACAAAAATAAAGCATATCTACTCAACAGGAATGAGACCCTTACTGACTATGTATTCGTTTAATGCTTGATGAAAACAATGGTACATATTATCGTATGGGTATACACAACGTCTGTTTCCATCGTCGTCGTATATGTAGAGCTCAAATCCAGTCCAACCTTCTTTTGTACAATATGTAGCTTTATTTAAGTATGCATTTATGTAGATAAGGCAATTTTCTTCATCGCTCCAGAAATAATTTTTCGTCTTTGTTGAAATAGTTTTCGTTCCTCTACGTCCATAAGGAATGTATGCAATAAATTTAGCATCATAAGGTATTATAATATATTCAGGGTTTCTTTCATCGTCAATGGGTCTGTCTTTGTTAAAATGCATGTTTCTCAGTTTTACTTGAGTTTTGAATAGTTCACGGAAACGTTCTGGGAAAGAGTCATAGTAAATGTAGTCGGACATGTCTTTGTAATGAAATAAAAAATTTAAAAAAAAATAAAAATAAGGTTATATTTTATTTAGTGAGGACGGTAGTGAATTCGTTAGTGAAGTCGTTAGTGAAGTCATTAGTGAAGTCGTTTATGTGTCAGATGGTTTTGTAAATATTTAAGGTTAAGTTGGTGTTATGGTTGTGTTGTAAAATATACGTTACCGGTTTCGTAAAGTGTCAAAACCGCTAAGTGGTGTACGGAGGCGCGCAGTGCCACAGTACGCGACTTAGGGATACTAACTGTTTTTCCATAATCGAGATGAATCAAAACTTTATCCCCTTGTTTAAAATTCATGAGCCCCGAATTAATTTGTTCACGTTTAACATCATTTAACTTTTCCATTTGCTTTCTAATATATTCCCATTCTTTTGAAATATCATTTTTCATTTCCACTGGTTTCATGTTTATAGTTCTATGCCATGTATTATTGTAATAATATACTAACTGCTGTATGATGGAGTCATGATTTCCATCCCAGTATATCTGACCGTTAACCCCTAACGCATCTCTAAGAGTTCTCATTACCGCATCAACTATTTTATTATGAAACGTATATGGAGAAGATGAGAAGTAAAAATTAATTTGTGGGAAATAATGAATCATAGCTGCCTGAAATCCTTTATCACCATCACCCCTTATATTATCTACTCTTTCATGATCTAGTAAGTATTGAATAGCTCTTCTTGTTTCCTGTTCTGTTTTCCCTTTCACCGGAATGCAATATAAATATCTAGTGTTAATGTTAATGGCAAATAAATAAGTAACGTTTCCTTTTGAATATTCTAAATGATCTATTTCGTATGAATATGGATATGGTGCAAATGAAGGGCGACTAAATTTTTCCTTTAACGGTTGAATTTTCGGGTCAATTGGTTTATTTAATATCTTGAAATCCTTTTTAAAATCTTTTTGCTTCTTTGGTGATTGAAATGGATATAATAAAGTGAATGATGAAGGATTAACTGAAGGAGGAGGTACTACCGTTGGAGGTTTTGGTGTTGTAAGTGGTTTAATTTTATCTGCTTTGATTTTGGATGATGAAGTTTTAGTTGTTGATTTTCCTTTCATTAATTCTGGATGTATTCTATTCATTTGTTTTAAATATGCTGTATATAAAGGTTTGATATACTTTCCCACTTCGAGTTTATGTTGAAGGATGAATTCCAAAAGTTGATCTTCATTTAAAAGTCGGGCTGAATATGGTTTAACTAATGAATCATAAATTAAAGCTTGTGCATCATTTATGGTCTGAAGGACCTGGGTGTTTTGCACCTTTAGCTGTTGAACATTTGCTACTTTCTCTTTTGGTGTTGTTTTCGGCTTTTTTTTCTTTTGTTTTTGTTCCTTTGGTTTTTGCGGCTCGGGATTATATAATTTATATAATTCATCAATATCTTCTTCTGTTAATACTTTATTTTTGAAATCTTTCAACTGTTTAAGTTGTGATTTAGTTTTTCCCTTTGTATATTCATTATTTTTAATTTTGTCTTTAATTTTAGAAATTATTTTATCATGATATTTCAAAATTTCATTTTTATAATACGAATAATAATAATCCATATCATCACCCGTTATATTTTATTATGTTTTTGGAGATATGATTTTAATTCATAATAATTAAGAAAATTTTGATTAAGTACTAAATTATCAATTAAATTTTCTAAATCTGCGTTATCCATTTATATAAAAATAAAATAAATGTTTTAAGGGTGCCCACCTCTTTGAATCATAGTATCAAAACCATTATTTACATATTGAATCACATCATTAACGGTTCCTCCTTCTAAAACGGTATCAAATGGTGGAGTCCAGATTTCCTGATGATGATCATAAAATCCAGCAAAATTAACCGTATTATTAGGTAAAATATGAATCTCGGCGGTATATCTTCTATCTAAATTTGGATGCCTTATATGTATACCATTACTACCCGGATAAAATCTCAAACCTTGATTTTGTTGACGCATCAAATTATTGAAATTTCTTTCTTCAGGGGTGAATGTTCTTCTCCGTTGACGTTGTGGTGGTCGTTGTTGCTGTGGTGGTGGTCGTTGCTGCTGCTGTTGATGCTGTGGTGGGATTTGAAAAATTCGTTGCGGTTGATTATTTGGAATCTGAAAGTTAAAACCATTTGGTATAAATCTATTCGGTTCCTTTTGTCTCTTCTGTGGCATTTCATTAAAAATAAAATTTTAAATTGTATTAAATAAATGGCATACAACATCCATTTTCACAACATACAGCCTTAGTGTGTGCTCCTGTTAATGCAGTCTTACCGATTGTTAAGCGAGTCATTGACCCGTTTTTAAGTTGTAAATTAATATTCTGACCATCAAATATCACTTTATCATTTATTATATCCAAATAATTTTTAGGTGTTAATTGTTTATTTTGTCGTAAACTAACACCTTTCATTTTTTGTGCAATCTTTTTAAAATCACTTCCATCAATTGAACCGTTGAATGATGTATAACACTTAGGACATAAAGCAACCATGTTATCACCTTGTTTCTCAATTGCTAAACCCAATAACTTCTTCTCATGTGCTTTTTCTTCAGCTTTATTCTTTAATTTAGGTTTAAATTTCTCATCAAAACAGAAGAAATCAAAAGGTGCGAATTTGAAAATGTTTTTATCATAAAATTGTTTATCGTAACAATTGCTTGAAATGCTTGAGTGTTAGGAAGATTTGGGTCGCCAGCGATTGCCCAATAAGATGAATCAGTATCACCTTCAATGAAATGAAAACGATTAACATTCATGCATTTATACATAAAATCATAAATGAAAACCAAATACCAGTATTTTGCGTTATCTAAAGTGAAGAATGCCTCTTGTAAACATGTATCACATCTATAAAATCTATCTTTAAGCATCACTTGATATGTATCCTCACCTATTTCTCTTATGTTTTTAAACTTATTTGACATACATGCAACGCGTGCCTTCTGTGCATTCATTATTTTAGTCTTTGCGTAATTTTGCGTATTCATTGCATCGTAACCATATGATCCATTAAGTGAAATCTTGCAAAATAAACTTTTTCCTTTATTTCCTTCTAATTCAGCCTTTTGTCTTTCGTTCATAAATTTGTTCGCAAATTCATTAAAACAAGTGTTTTTAGTAAATGTTAAAATTGATTGAATGTCATCAATGATAAAATCAAACCTGTCGATTAGATAACAAAGATAATAAGAAGAAAATGGTTGATATTGGTTGTGTGTTGATGCTAACTGAGTTAATTTCCTCTGTTTCTGGTCAACTGGTAGATTGTTTGATTTCATGTAATTATACATAAAACTGCCAATTGTTTTTTCATCTGTGATAATATCTAAGTTTCTTATTATCGGTAAAAAGTTTATGTAATCATTAATGTATTTTTCATCAATGTGACCCTTTACTTCAGCCACGAATAAAGTATTTTTCTTTCTAATAATTCCCAGTGCTTTTGCTTTCTTTGTTGCTGTATCACAAATGATAACACCATTCAATCTTCCCGGCATATACATTTTATGGTCAGTATATTGAATGAAATCATGAGGATTAGATGAAAATGATGAAGGATATAATGAATTAAAATCAACACCAACGAAATGAGTCATGATGTTGGTGGTGTCCTCATTTGATACAGTTTTAGTTTCTGGACTATATGAAAGTTTATTAATGTGCGTGATTCCTTTAAGATTAACACGATGTTGAACATTTGATAGACCACCAGTAATTCCATTACGGAGAATGTGATAAGCTTCAACTGAATCTAAAGTCATTGGTAAATTATTTTTTAATGCATAATTTCTTAAATTGATTCTTAAACGTTGAACATCTTCATCTTTATTTGATTTTACGACATTGCAATAACAACACATTAACTGACAATTTTCTTTGGTATGTGGTTTTTCATTATCGATTCTATCCAATGTTGGTTTATTTGCATATGTAAACGCTTTACCACACATTTTGCATTTAGATGAAAGGATTAAATCGTGATAGTATTGAAAATCATCCATTGAAACATTATTTTTAGTATCCCTTTCTGCTTTTTCATCTTGTTTCTTATATGATTCAATTTTATATTTCCAATACTTTTTCGTTAATTCAAAACTTGATTCTATCTCTTCCTCAGGATATTTTTCATTAGGATTAAAGTCTTTATATGCTAAAGCGTAACGAATCATTGAAGCATTCGATGATAAAGAAAGATTATGAAGCATATCAATTTTATAAACAAATGTTTCTTCAATAATTTTATCGATTGGGTCAATCATAATTTCAACATCTTTATTGCAATAATGAATAAAATATTCTAATCTATTCTTAAAATTTTTAGCATCATTGAGATATATTTGATAATCACTATCTGATATAGTTTCTTGAGTTAATGCTGAATAAAATGAATCTTGAGTGAATGGTTCCACTTTATATAATTCTTCTTCGTAATTCTCCCACGTGATGAATTGATAAGGGAAAAAGGATTTAACATGTGTTTTATTATTTCCGAAATCTTGAGTGAATTGATCTAATGTTCCACCCGCTATATAATTTCTTATGTCAATAAATCTTAATTCATATGGAACGTTTGTTTTCTTTACAATGATTTGCTTAAATTGTGAAGATGAACCCAGCATTGATTTTATTTTCCATTTTGCAGTGTTTAAATCACGAAGAATTAAATTTAAATCAAACTTTCCCGAATTAAAACCTATGATATTCACTTTATTGAATTCCTCATCTAGAAGTTCTTTAAATGCTTCCTTCTGTTTTCATTTAATGTATGGGACAAAGTCCCCGCCGTTTGCGGCTTCAATAATTCATCGTATTGACTCATATTTGATTTAGCAACTAATGAACAGGTTGAAAATAAAAATTCAATCCAGTCAGAAATAAAAGAATCACTCGAAGTTAAACAAAAATTCCTCGTATATGTTTTATCATTTAATTTAACCGTTGATGATACCATGAATGGTTTTAAGTAAGCGTTCAAAGTTGCACACTCAGAAAGTTGTAATTCTTCTTTAGTCTCTAATGTTTCGAAGTCAAAAGTAATATAATATCTTGTCGGTTTATAATATTTCTGCAAATTGTGAGCTAATAACCACTGATATATCTTCTGTTTCGTAATATGTGGTGCATATGGTTGCTGGGTTTTTTGCAATTGAACGTCTTGAATTAATCTTCCATTATTTTCTTTACATTTCTCACAATGCTTTAAAAATCTTCTTTGGTTTTTCCTTTCTGGATCATCACGGATAGAATAAACTTCTTCTTTACAATATGGACAAACTTTATAGCCGGTGAGTGCTTCAACGTCTGTTATTCTGTCAGCGTGAAGTTTTCCACATGGACTCTGTGTTAATAAAATATTTACTGTTTCAAATTCTGGATCTATCATTATTGATTCCACTAATGGAAAGTCTACCTTATTTATGTCCACGTCTTCTGGTTGAGGATCACAATAATAGAAATCAATATTAACATTTAACATTCTCGCTAATCTCTCACTTTCTGATGAAATGTCAAACCCTTCATATGCATCTATTGCTTCATTTAAATAGCTTCTACGAGTTTTAGGATTAACACCATCAGGAATGTTATAGAAGCGTTTAAATAACCTTCTACCTTCTGCTCTAATTTGATTATCATTCATTTTAGCGGTTCCGTTTTTGTTCATTTATGTAAGAATCAAAAATTAAAAATAAATAAAAATAAAGTTTATTTTTTAAAGCCCATAAAATGAATTAAGAACACATAAATTTTTATCATCTGCGACGTGACGAATACATTTTAATTTACTCAAGAATGCGTACCCTGATACATTAAATCTAATTCCTGTCTTATTTAATTTCACAACTTTGAAAAGGAATGTATGAATAGCTATAAAATGATGAGAAGATGTTTTATGGGTTGCTTCCATTTTTTCTGAAATAAATGAATAAATATAATGCTTATACGTTTTCATATCTTTTATATTCTTAATAACGAATGATATAGACCTTTCAACTTCGTCTTCCTTCGGTGCTGTTCTTTCATATGAAACATTATTAGTATCTTCAACAATGAAACCGCAATCACATAAAATTTTATATGTTCCAATGGTTTCTTTTGATATTTTATCTAATAAATCAAAAACTTTATCAACACCTGTGCATTTATTTAAATAATAATTTGTGTAAATATCATGATCTTCTTTCTTAATCGTATTAGTTGCATATGTCACGTTTTTTAGTGCTTTTTTGAATTTTTCGGAATCTAAAGGTGGTGAAAATAAGATACAGGGTATTCTTCATTATCAATAAATTGTAACTTATGTTTACGAATAAATTTAGTACCTTCTTCTGAAAGTGTTTCGTCTATTTCACCATCTAATAAATTTTGTGTTGATTCTGAGACATAATTTTTATATCTTTCTTCATGAGATTTCTGTACTTCTGATTCTGAAGCTGGGATATTCATTAAACCCTCTACTTCATTTTCATTATATTTTTCAACTTCTCTTAATTCCTTAATTTTTTCATCTATTTCATCTCTTATTTTTTTCAGTCTTTCAATTTCATTGTATTCATCATCTTTAATCCGTTCTTCATAATATTCGGGGAAAACATCAGGTTCTTTAGGTTTTTCTTCTTCAGATGTAGGATATAAGAAATTTATAACATCATCTTTATTCATTTTTCCATCATAATCTAAATCATTTAATAACTCGGCAAATTTTTGACAATTTCTTAAATAATATTTATTAACTTCATAACCTACCTCCTCTAATATATCCTTTATTTCGAGTAGGGGTAATTTTAGCTAAAAGTGACACACCCGTGAAGGGTGTGATTACCGATCGGTAATTTCGACAGTTTAGAATTTAAAATTTTTTATGGAACTGTTGCGAGTTTCATAAAGAATTTAAGGAATATAAGCAAAGATTTGAATCAAAATCTTAGACCTAAGCCGCTCGATTCGCTCGCGGCTTCCGCGAATTACAGATCAGCAAAGATTTGAATCAAAATCTTCGAACTAAGCCGATCGCTTCGCTCGCGGCTTTCTTTATTATTTTAAATTTGCATATTTCCATCAAAAGTTCATAAGGTAAAAAATTTCGTTTATTTTTACTAAGAAAAAAAAGGGTTTTGATAATAAATTTATTTTATTTCGAAAAAGTAGCAATAATCGTAAAAGGGTATTGATAGGCTTGCTAAAGTAACTAATTTTAGCTGTCAAATACTTTTGTATTTTGAAGTAAATTAGTATAAATTTGTTTTTACTTTTATTTCGAAAAAGTAGCAATAATCGTAAAAGGGTATTGATAGGCTTGCTAAAGTAACTAATTTTAGCTGTCAAATACTTTTGTATTTTGAAGTAAATTAGTATAAATTTGTTTTTACTTTTATTTCGAAAAAGTAGCAATAATCGTAAAAGGGTATTGATAGGCTTGCTAAAGTAACTAATTTTAGCTGTCAAATACTTTTGTATTTTGAAGTAAATTAGTATAAATTTGTTTTTACTTTTATTTCGAAAAAGTAGCAATAATCGTAAAAGGGTATTGATAGGCTTGCTAAAGTAACTAATTTTAGCTGTCAAATACTTTTGTATTTTGAAGTAAATTAGTATAAATTTGTTTTTACTTTTATTTCGAAAAAGTAACAATAATCGTAAAAGGGTATTGATAGGCTTGCTAAAGTAACTAATTTTAGCTGTCAAATACTTTTGTATTTTGAAGTAAATTAGTATAAATTTGATATTATTTTAACTCCCTTTGAAAACCTCAATTTTCCATACAGAGGGAACGGGAATAGCATCCAATATTCCCTGAGAATGGTTGCACATTCTCAGTTCCCTTTATTTCCTCGTTTGTGAATCCTAATTTTTTAACGTTGTTAGTTTTGACGCTCATTTCATACAAAATAAAAAAATAAAATAATAAACATAACTAAGTTTTAATTTTTCGTAAGACATGAATTTTTAAAGTTTATTTTTTAAAAATTTTTTATTTTTTATTTCATTATGGTAGTGAATCTTTTATTCATGAAAATAATTATTTCTAATTTCTTTTACTCTCTCGTATATACTAGATTTGAAGAATTCAGAACATTTCCCATAATCTCCTAAATGTTTTCTTATCCCTAACGTGTGCCAGTTATTATATGAAACTGAATAAACTTTATCTTTATCTTTACACCTTTCATCACTTCCAATATATTTATATCTCAGTTTTGATTTAGCATTTTCATATTCATTAGCGTTTAATAATTCACAGTCTTCCTTTTTAAATTGATGTTTAAGATATTCAGGATTTAATACTCTACGTTTATATGCTCCTAACTTAGTTCTAAAGGTTTTTCTACAAAATTTAGGAATTCCATCCTCTTTAATGTCATCAATGATTTCCATTTCATTATTTTCAATTTCTTCTTCTCGTTTATGAGGTCTTTGATTATGACTCCATTGATTCCATGAAATTAAATATTCTTTATCATTATATTTATACCTCATTAGCTTATTTTGGCTTTCATATTCATTTAATAATTCACAATCTTCATTTTTAAATTGAAGTTTAACCCATTCAGGATTTAAACAATGTTTAATTAATCGCGGAATATCTGACATCATCTATATATAGCTTCTTTTATAAAAGATAAAAAATAAATTATTTTAAAATTAATGTTAATTTTTTAAAATGTGTTTAGTATATAATATTTATTACTAATTTATTTAATAATGTCGCGCTTTCTTACGAATTCATGACTTAAAAAACGTAAGAAAAAATTTTTATATCATCTATATATAGAAGATGTGAAAATATACCTTCATCTATATATAGACGTAACAAAAAAAGTCACTAAACCCTTCATATCCTACTACTTACTCTCTATATGATCGGGGAAATTTTTTATCATCATCAATGACACTGTTGTTGCATGATGATTATCGATATTGTCACTAAGCGAAATGAGCCTATAATTACTCGTTCTAATTTTTTTGAAAAAAAAGGTTATTTTTTTTCTTACTCATCTATCAATAAAAAAAAAGCCATGCATCAACCTGTTCAATTAACTAATAATAGACCGAGGAGGACCCGTAATAGGGATAATGCTAATAGCCCTCTTACGGAAAGGTCGAAACGCCAGAAAACGCCTGTTTTTATTCCAGATCATTCTTCAGAAAGTTCAGATATAAGCGATGATATTCCACTTATTGAATCTTCTAGAAATGCTCAACTTGAGGATGTTTCCTTCGAAGAATCATCGCTTGATTCTTCCAGTGATGAACATCCTAAAGGTCAGAATGACAATTGGGCTCCACCAAACAGAACTGTACCATCACCACAACCACCGAAAAATGATAATACGCCAAAACCACAACGGACAACCCCGAAAAGAACTGGAAGAAGAGTTAGAAGACAAAATCCAATCATTCAATCTCAACCAATCTCGAATGAAGATAAACGAACACCTGATCCAGTACCAAGAGCTAGACGTTCATCCTATAATAGAACAAATGATTCTTCCGGGTCGAATTCAATTAATGAAGATGACTTTGTTACCAACGATGATAGCGAAAAACAATTTATAGATTCAGGAGTAGGGTCTGCACCAAATCCAGCTATTGAGCAGCATGAATCAACAGAACAAACAGTACAAACAGTAGAAACCCCAGCTGCCGATACTGGAAACAAACGAAATCTTGACATATCTGGTACAAAACTTGTAGAAATCTTACGTAGAAAATCCGTATTCGCCCCAGTATCATTTTCTCTTTACCAACTAGATAAAACAATTTTCTTTACAAGGCATGGGAAGATAGCGCTAGGTAAAGGATTCTTCATTCTTCGAAAGAATGTAATGGATGGCGAAATGGTCGGCTTTTTACGCGAGCATCAGAATCTTCATCGATTTACTTACTATTCAGGCCATGATGAGAGTAGCCTTGGTGAACAATTTGGTTTCTCGTTCATCAAGCGACCGAACATTCAGTCTCAAGTTCGTCAAATCCGCGTTATTTACAGGAAAGGTTTTCAACTTCATTATCCAAAAGATAAGAGCGAAAATCTTTCTCGTCTTGCTCGAGATTACAATGAGGAATCACCAAATCCTATATACAATAACTATGAAATATTAAATTCTCAAATTCCACGACTATTACAAGATGGAACCCTTGTAATGAGCTTTGGAGGCGCTACATGTAATTCTAGCTGCAAGAATTTTGTATTCAGAATTCCTGGAACAAATAAATGCCAATTTATGTGTTTCCGCCAAGCTCAGGAAACATTCAAAGCTCGATACCAAGATCCATTTACAGAAGAGAGTGCTTTTGCAATGGCCATCGCATCTTTCGTCGGCGAAGGATGAATTTTTAAATTACTTTCCCTTGTTTTATATTGTTTTAAATGAAAATAAATAATAACATTTGATTTAAAGTGTTTTTATATTAATTTTATTCTTATTTTTCAAAGATATCACCAAAAAGTATCGAAATTTTAGTTTTCCTTATTAGCAAACATAGTTTGATATTATACTTCAATTTATTAACACATCTATTATTTAATGCTAATGACTCGCAATGATTTTATAAATTAATTGTGAATAATTGTTATAAGTTACTCATTGTCAAATTCTGCTGGATAAAAACAACTACCATCAACTCAGATACTGTTTTAAAGAAATAAATCATGATTAAGACAGATATTATTATAGTTTTAGTCAATATCATATAAATAAACGCTTCTTCTTCGAGAAGTTTTCCAGATACAACGGAAAACTCGCTAAAGTATTCCTTTTTGGTGTGAATATAACAATAGAGGAAAACACTTCCAGCGCCAACCAATCCAAAAACATCTTGGAAGTTATAAGCATAAAGAAGAGCAATTGCATTGTTTTTAGCCACCTTCAAAAACACAATAGCTGATGTGAATAAAGCAGTTGCCTTGACAAGAGGTGGAACTACAGCAAGTCCTCCATATCCCATAACAATTGTAAGTAAAATAAACAATTCAGTAATAGGAACAAGGAAACCAGTATAGAAAGGAATAGAAGATATCTTTGGAATGTATGAGATCATGACTGGATCGTGAATCCAGATTTGCATAATTAAGAATGGCTTTACAACCATAATTGTACACAATATAACAATAACTATACCAGGAAGAATCAAAGAATATAAAACAACCTTAACAAAACGTGGTTTATCTTTTGTATGAAGTGCAAAAACAGCCAAAGGTATTACTCCTGACATTCCACCTGCAACAGTAGCGGCCATAAGTATAAAAACTTTCATTGATGTTGAGTAAACTGTAACAATTTCAGTTGTATCCTTTGATGCAGCTCTTTTCATAAGTAATGTAAAGACAAGAGGTGTGACAACACCTAAAGAAATCGTTGTAAGAAGAGGGAATGATGATTTGATAACATGCCAAAAGTCAGAAGTTGGTTTTTCAATAAAAGCATGCCAATTAGGTTTAATGTTCTCGAAGACATGGAATGCAAAGGTAAAGAAAAGAATAATTGACATAATGAAAGGCCCGGATACAAATGCGATACCCATTAAACTTATTTTAGCTTTGAATAAATAAATGAAAACCGGATCCATTAAAAGAGATGTTACAAGAGCAACAATTTGTAATGCTCCAGCAAGAATGGCTCTTCCAGTTGCTAAGAGAATACTGCAAGAGTACAAGAAATGAATAACAAATGTTGGGAATAAAGCAATAGGTAATAAATACTTTAGGGTATCTGATTTAAATTCTTCTGGAATACCAAGACTTGGAATCAAACTAGGAATTATTCCAATTAATACGGATGACAAAATTATTCCTAAGATTAGATTGAAACGGAGTGCTTCAACGTAAAGTTTACCTATTGATTTGTAATCTTTCTTGGCAATATATTCACTGAACTTTTTCGTGACACCTTGAGAATGAAAACCACCAAGACCAATGACAATATTACGAACAATACTTGATATACTAACAATCGTAACTCCTCTTGTATCAAATCCCTTTTTGATGAAGTATAAGTCCAAGAAATCTTGAGTTGCGCTAATCAAACAGAACAAAAATCCAGGGAAATTTAGTCTGAATGATGTTAAAAAGACCCTTGGATTACCGAGAATCTTGTCTTCATCTACTGATTCGCTTGTCTCGCTTATACTTTGCACAGATTCATATTCCATTTTTGAATTTTGATTTGACAATAAGAATTAATCTAATCTCAAAATTTTAATATCTTGGTCATTTATAAACACTACAATTTCCAGATAAAATGTTATGTATCGAATATTCTATTCAATTTCGAACCTCGTTTCTAACAAAAAATCGAATTTCTCTCTCAATTATTACCTCCCAATTGAATTTTATAGAACATTAAATTGTCACAACTGCTAGTGTGTGATATGGTCTCCTAATTTGGTTTTGGTCAACAAAATTTTTATGAGGAAAAATGACAATCATTTATTTTAATAATATTAACATTTCGTTAACTTAAAAAGCATCAATTTATTCTTTTGTTCTATTTGGCTAAAAGTTAATTCAAATCTGAAACTCTTTGTTTGTCTGTCAAAAATAGGTTTTCAATTTTCGGAGAAAATTAATTATGGATTTCGCATACACAGATGCATGTTCATCCTTCAGACATGGTGTTCTATCTTATCCATTGCAATAAAGTTTGAATTTATATCAGTTCTTCAATATCATGTTATATTGGAAACATCACATATATCTCTTATAATATCTCAAAGGTACATTCACTATTTTTGACAAAATTTTAAATTTTCATGGGGTTGTAAATCTTATAATAACTAGATGAATAAGGAATGAATCCCAGTATAATGTGCATCATTATATTAAACACTATATGTAAGGCTAATGATTCTATTAACACTTATGAAGATCTATAGTATTTGAGCAGATAAATTTGATAATTTCCAAAACTCTTATATTTCAAAATTAAAGTGTGCGAATGCATTTAAATGAGAGCAAAAAGAGATTGATGCTGTTAAAACTAGGTGTTAATTTGCAATTATTTCGCATCACAAGAACTACCCAGTAAATTCGGCTATCTTTCTTTGCAATTATTCTCCATTATACATATAATATAATGGTTAGGGTTTGAAGAAAAGTTACTAGAGAATTATTGACTTTTGAAATAATGCAGAATTTTACTTGAAGAAATCATTAATTTATGAGTTCCAAATTGCTAAGCATGACGAAGGATCATTAAATTGCTACAATTAAATACACTTATTGCAGAATTAAGATTTTTGAAATTAAAAGTTTGAAATATTGCCTTTTTGATAAAAATTAAATTTTATTATATAATCATGATAATATCTTATAGAAATTAAAAGAAAATATTTTAAACCATTCAAATATTTTGAATGTCTTATCAATTTAAAATATTAAAAGATAGCTTGATTTTATCATCATTAGTTGTTATCAAAGTTTTCTTCTTTTGATGAACAACAGTAAATGATTTGTTAATTACTTGTCTTCCTTTTTCGCAGCAAAATCGAAAGTTATGATGATAATCTTGCTGTCAATTTGAAACTCTCTGATTTACAAGTAAGCATTCCTTTGGAAAAGCAGTCCTATTCTGTTTTCAAGATATTTTAAAGCCTCCATTTCATACAATGCGCAGATCTATTCGAAATTGCAAGAACTCTCAAGAAAAATGCAGCAGCAAAGAAGATTCCATAGTTTCTAGCATCAAAAATTTACAACCTTAATACAACAGTTAAATGAGAAGAACTGACTCGAAAAGAAATAATTTAACCATAAAGCTGGAAACCATTCGATATCTACTATTGGATCTAATAAAAAGTTAATTATAACATATTTAACATGCTATTTGTTGACTTTGTTCCATTAATTTACCATATATATCTTTTTGAAATCTAAAATATTTTTACGATTTTAACCATGTGTTGTTGAAACCATATATCAATCTTAGCTAAGTATAGTTTATGAGTCTGTCACCATCTAACGTATGAATTTTCAAAAATGTCAAATATGTTCATTTTTTCTGTAGATTCAGCCATAATTTCATGTTGTTATACTATTCAACTATTATTTAATATTTTTATCGATTTAAATATATGATAAGATGCTTAGTTCTCCTGGAAATCGATTTTTAATCGCAATTTTAACTTTCCAAAAAAAATTCAAAAATAAAAATCCCTCTCAATTTTCTAAGTTTTATAACTCGCCAAATCTCTAGCCAATTTTTTTGGCCCGTATAAATATTGTTAGGCACTATATAGGGATGCTATTTATCCTATTTTCATCCCATTTTACTGTTATCGCCTAGTGAATGTACCTTTAATATCTCTTATAATATCACTTAATTCAAATCTTAAACTGCATTCTATTACTATAAGGTAGGTTAAAATAATCGCTGCTAAAACTACCGTTCGTAACACTCTCAATTTTGAATCATTACGGGCGGGAACGCCTGTGAATTTTGCTGATCTCATTTGTAAACACTTTACAACACGTAAAGTCCTCAAATTTGAGTGTGTTAATGTCAAAATTTCGTGTTACGAGTGATTTTACCTACCTTATAGATTCGATAAATATATCAGTAATTAAAATCAAAATTTATACTAAACTTTGAATCTGTTAAAATTTACATATCAACATCTTTTTTTATTCTTAATTTTTTGTATTATCTTAAAATACATTTATTATCGTTATGGACTTTGTGAATTCAAAATATGACGCAATATTACTCAACTTAATTTGAGATTCACAATTCATTTTCACTATTAATGCATATATTCATCAATAACATATTGCCATCATATATACGCACAAATTTAAACTCAATGACGTCAGCTACAAATATGAAAAGGGTCAATTTACAATCCTTCATCATACATGCTTAAGAAATAATATCGAAGCTGCAATTATTCTAATTCCACACGGTGCAAATATAAATGATAATAATAGTGCAAAATTAACTCCTCTTATGATAGGATTAATATTAAATCATAGGGACATTATTAAACTTCTGATTTCACGTGGGGCAGACATCAACATGCAGCAATCGGGTGGACTTTCTGCCATTCATCTTGCAATATTATCTAATCGTAGAGGAAATACTAATGAAGGTGCTTTATCTGTAGAAAAATTATTTGGACTCCATTATTCCAAAGATTTTGTTAATGAAAGTGAAGCCAAAGATTTGATTGAACTTCTACCTTCAAATGGTGCAAATGTCAATGCAAAGAATGACAATGGACTTACACTTCTTCATATGGTATCATTAAAATCTACTAAAGAAATTGCTGAAATATTAATTTCTCATGGTGCTGAAATCAATCCTTTAACTAAAAATGGACTGACTCCTCTTGATATTGCTGTTGGATGTGAAAAAATAGATTATGAAATATTCCTTAGACTTCGCAAAGCTAAAATGGATTACCAATATTATCTTGATTCCTTCCAAGAAGCAAGCAAAATAGTGGCTTTCTTAAAATTGAATGGCGGAAAAGCTAATTCTGGGGATATTAGAATGACAGCATTTTATAATGTTTCTTATTATTTAAATGATTATATGATGTAATACTAGTTCTAACGCTTTGTAACTAACCAATTGTGATAATACATAAAAAGTCAATTGCTTATATCATTCCATAATAAAATAATGCATTTTTAAGGTAACAATATATTACTTGTGTTATCATATGCTAGGAGATAACAATTTCACTGTTATTTGACTTAAATATATTGATTAATTTCTCATAATAAATATTTAGTTTAGAATAATGATTTACAATAACAAAATGTGATAATTCTCTGAGTCATGGATATATCATAAAAAAGACATTTACAGATAGATTTTCCAGAATTCTTTGGGAGAAAATAAAATCTATAAAAGTGACATCTTTTAGCGTCATTAATTATTGTCACTTTTTGTTCTTAATTTTCATGTCAGTCAAAAATTATGTTATTCCTGAACCTTTTCAAATTATGAACAATCCACAAGAAATAGGAAAGGTTCAGCTAAAATGTCCTGGTTCAAATAGGCGTGAAAATTGTGATATGATGTTTAATGGTCCAATCCTTATATTTACACCAGAAAATAAGAAAAGCCAATTAAAATGGTTGTTTTTACCAATGTTTAACGCTGAAATTAATATGCAAAATCCAAAAAATATGCTATTTATTTGTAATCTTAACGGAGACATTCGTTATGATGTATTATTTGACATTCAAAGTAAATGTAGTGATACTTACACGAAATACCTCAACATTATTACTAATTTTCATGAATTACTTAAAACCATCGATCCTCACGCTGTTGTTTCATTTTCACAGAAAGTAGCATGCATATTGAAGGATAAGAAAGATAGACAACATCATGAGCACATTGCAGAACAAATTACTTTACAAAAAGGAAATAAATTTACTTTCCAAGCCCATTATACAGAAAATAATTCAATCAAGAGCTTCACAATTAATTTTAACGACGAATCATATGTAGGAAGTACAATTAATTGTCCAAAACAGTTTGGATCTCCAAATATTCGCCATTTGATGTTTACTTTGACCGGTGAAGATAATAATGAAGGTATATTCTTAGTCAGAACAATCCAAGAAGCCTATAAATGGGTAATTTCTTGCTTCTATGGCTCAGAAAGCCAAAAATGGAAGCCAAGGACTCCAATTTCAATTCTTTCCCAATCTGTAGCACAGAATCGTTCAGATTCTTCTCAACAGAGGCCAAACAATCAAAATCAAACTCAATCTCCAAAATCTCCAACACAAACCCAACAAAATACACAAAACAAGCAACCACAACCTGTTCAACAACCGATTTCTGCCCCAGAAAAACAAGAAAAACCACAATCTCAAATTCAACCACCAAAACAAGAGACAACAGTTCAACAACCACAACAACAGAAGGTCCAGCAAGAACAGAAACCAGAATCAGTCCAAGAACCAAAAGAATCAGCTCCAAAACCCAAAATTCAAAAACCAATTCCAGAAGAAAAGCCACAAGAGCCAAAACAACCAGCTCCTGTTGTTACAACTACATCAGAACCATCAACTCCTCATGTTTCAGCACAATCTGTTCCTAAATCTGAAGAAATTCAAAATAAGACCGAGGAACATGTAGTTGAACCTCCAAAACCAGAACCAGAACAACATAAACCTGTTGTTGAACAGCAAAATCAGCAACCTGTTGAACAAAAACCAGAAATTAAAATTGATATTCAGCCACAACCACAAGAAATCAAGAAACCAGAGCCAGAAGTTCATGAACCAGCCAAAGAAACACCAATTCCTGCTCCACAAGACGAGAAAAAGAAGGAAGAAGATATATCTCAAAATAATGGAGAGAAATCGAAGCCAAAACCACAACCACCATCACCTCCAACGTTCACAATCACGAAATCAGACAATACAACGAAGAAAGAACCGAAGAAAGAAGAAAATCAAGAACAAATTAAGCCAAAACTGCAAATGCAGATCAGTATCACAACAACAGTATCCGCAGCTCAAAAAGCTCCTGTTACAAAGAAAGTCATAAAAAGAATTCAAAAGAAACAAGAAACTCCAGTTATTGAACAAAAAGTGACAGAACAAAAACGGTTTTGCACTTTTCCTCATCCTCCTCCGATTTCTCAGCGTCTCTCATCATACAGAACCCACATATCAGACAATTGCAACATAATAAGAACAGTAGATTGTTATCAGCCACCAAATTCCGACATAATAATTAAGAATATGAAATCCATGGAGAAACCAGCTCAGCAACAAGGAAACCTTCTTCAAAACGCTTTGTCTGACCTCAAACTAGACATCAGATCCAATTACAGTGACTTTGATCGCTGTTACAAATTGACTCAAAATGATATCTTGAATGATTCATTGACAATCATCGATCCAAGTCATTCAGACATCAGCGGGTTCACCCAATTCAAGAAATACCCAGATTTCGACAGGAATAGCCTTATAAATCCAATTCCAAGTATTGATGTTTTCTTGAACCAATTATGTGACTTTTCAAATTCTCCAAAATACGTAGATCAGAATGCACCAGATGTGAACAGGCTCTGTTACATTGTTGGAGCAATTTTTTGCAATGGACTGAAAATTTCTGTTCAAGATTTGTCAAAAATTTTGTCAGAAAAATATGAATGTCTTAAAACGATAAGTTATAAAAAGAAAGGTGCGAAAAACATCATTCTTTTTGGTGCTAAATTGCTGAATGGAGATATTGTTATTCCTTGCCTTGAATGGATTAAAGCAAATGATTATATTATTCAAAATTATTACCCAAGTGCATTGATATTGGCTGATGACTTTGATGATGTTTTTAATTATCTTAATGGTTTCCTTTTTGTTCGTTCTTTCTTTATTCCTGTTCCAGAAGTTGATTCATCTGTTGAAGAAATCGAAAAATTGTTGTTAGTTCCTCAATTTTTGCCAGCAGAAATTGATCAACTCAATAAGAAATCATCTCCTATTACAACAGATGAAGCAGCTGAAGTTTTCGCGAGATGTCTGTATCTGGGATCTAATGATGCATGGCATGTTATTAAGTCATTGAGTGACAAAATGAATATTAATGAATTGAAATCAGCAATTTCGAATGTTAGCCGTGATCACATATTGACTAGAGATGATTACAAGATACTCAAAAGTTTCGCTGAACAAGCAGTGAAGTTGAGAACTTGCGCTTATTGGTTTGCTGAAATTGTTTTGGCTGTTGGTTCTTCGAAAGAAAACTCAATCAGAGAACATTTTACTTCTTATTCTTGCGTAAATGATATGTACAGAGCTTTCCACACAATTTGCAGACTCAATGCCCTAATGAAGAAGATGGGTCCTCCTGGGACTACTGATTAAAAATATTCTCTTTGAAATTATAATTTTTTTTTACTGGCAATTATTTAGAATTATTTCAAAAGTGATGCTATTGTTTGCATTATTTTCAAGAAAATTAATCATGGTTAAAGTTCCTATAACTTAATCTTCTTAGAATACTTGGAGAGCATTATTGAAAAATTGTTTTGGAGACTGTTATTGTGAAAACAGGTTTAAAATAATTTGAAATTAATTGGTTATTTCAGTGAGAAAGTGTATAAGCATATTAGTTTGTTCAGTAAATGCACTTGATGGCAAATTATTGTCTATCGATTGAAGAAATTCAACAAATCGTAAAAATTTAATAATATACACTTATGTAATGATGACACATTAAATCTGGAAGTTTGTGATTACTGTTTTATCCAATTTTTGATACAATTACCAAAGATTATGTTGAAGATATTGAGTAAACTTTTTGGATTACTGTCTGACAAACTGAACAAATATGGCAGATATCTATTCTCATATTATATCACATTTGATTCATATGAATAAGCTCCTGATGACCATTTTTAATTCAGAATTCAAAAAAGATATAAAAATAATTCCTCCTTTTCTTTATAATTTGCTTTGTTTCATATATTCTGCATTATATTTTGAATAATTGTTCGAAAACTTTTCCCACCCGATTTTTATACGTTAGTAAGATCTTCGTTAAATGCAGGATTTACCATTTGCTAAGAGAGAACCTCGCATCCGTGCACAAACAGCCGTCACTGGAGTGAGAGGACCCTTCGATCCTGCTATTGAGCAAAGTGTACCACAAAATCAACAAATGATTTCAACAAGAAGGTTTCAATACGGTATAAAAAGAACTCCTGGACTAAAATGTGATTCGCCTCGCTTTTTAGACAGCAGAGTGGATCAACTTGCCCGAAACAGAGAGAACATATTCTTCGATTCAACACATCCTAAATTCGATAATCCACGGTTACCTCAAACTCCAACTGCAACTACAAGACACATGCATACTCCATATACATATAATACTTCTTGGATTGATCATCCTTCTGATAACCCAGCAATGCTTCCAAGAAAAACAGATTTACTCAAATCAACATTTTTGGATACATCTATCGCAAACGAAGATAAAAATGAGCGTCGCCAAAAGTTAGAAACAACACTCAAATGGAAGAATACGCGTGAAGAACAATTAGAAAATTATAAGAAGTCTTGCGATGATATGGTAAACAAAAGATACACAAATTCTCTCGAAAGAATACGTCAAGAGAGAGAAGATTACGGAGTTGCTCTCGAAGCTCGTAGAAAGCGCGAACATATTCATTATTTCGAATAAAATATATTCATTACTGTTTGATCACATAAATATAACTATTTTAACATGTAATTTTTATATATATAACACTACAACTTTATCTATTTTTTTTTAGAAATTAATCGAAAGAAGGACGACAGAAATCAGCCAATTGAGGTGAAATCTTGCTGAAATAAGGATGATCTAATGCGTCACGAGCAGTTAAACGCTTGTTTGGATCAATTGATAATAATTTGGTAATTAAGTCTATTAAATCCGGATCTTGAATGTTAAGAACCCCACCTAGGTCTTTCTTTTCCATTTCTGGAAATACATCAGCTGATATCACTGCATTTTCTGGCCAATATTCTTCAGGAGTTCCTAAAATCTTGAAAATTCCAAATGCTTGATCTAAATCACTATCTCCAACGAATAAAGGAGATTTCTTGATCATTTCAGCGATAACGCATCCAGCGCTCCATGAGTCAATTCCAATATCGTAGAATGTAGAACCTAAAACAATTTCAGGTGGTCGATACCATAATGTTGTAACATTCGGGGTCATTTGAGTTAATGGTATACCGAATGAGCGCGCTAAACTAAAATCTGCTATTTTTAACATTCCTGTTCGATTGATTAGTAAATTTTCTGGTTTGATATCGCGATGTAAATAGTGATGAGAATGCATATAAGCAATTCCGCATAGCATTTGATATGAATATGATCTAACTAATTCTGGATCCATTGGTGATTTCATGCATAGGAACTTTCTTAGAGACATTTCCATGAATTCGGAAATGATTACTGCTTTTTCGGAAGTAACGATTGTATTTAAGCATTTAACTATATTCGGGTGATCGAATGCTTTCATTGCTGATATTTCACGTAAACATGAAGATGTAATTCCATCAATCTCCATGTCCAAAGGAATCACTTTCATTGAAACAATGTTGTTATTAACTTCATCTTTTGCTCTATAAACTGATCCGAAACCTCCTTCACCTAATTTCTCTAGTTTAGTGTATCTTTTCGCTTCGTCCATTGAAATTTCAAACGTGCACTAAAATTATAATTGGTATTTGACAAGATATATGGTAATAGTAGTATATACTGAACCATTTTTCTACTTATATATTAATCTGGTGATGAGATTTTAAAAATCATTTCATGGAAAACAAGGTATTTTGTAAAATTTTCACCAAAAAATGTATGTTTATAAGAAAATAGAGATAATTTCATCAAAATACATAATAAAAGCTTTTTATAACGTCAGTAGTATATGTGGACGGGTTGTGTGACTTTTTTTGTAAACGTAAGAATTCATACAATATTGAACGATTTTGTATCATTTTTTTTAACATATGAAGTAAAAAATGTATGATTCTTACGGTTTTTATTCTTACATTTTTGAATAAATCAAGATTTAAAAATTTTCAAAATTGTAAGACATTTACACTCAACCCAAACATAAATCATTAAAAGAAGCTATATATAGATGATGTCAGATATTCCGCGATTAATTAAACATTGTTTAAATCCTGAATGGAATTAATAAAGTCATAATCAAAGACCTCATAAACGAGAAAAAGAAATTGAAATTGAAATTAATGATTATTTGAATTTATGATATCAATTATTTGATTTATTCTTTCTTCAATCTCTTCTATTCTTTTTGTTAAATCATCTATTTTCATTAATGAGGTGATTCTTGATTGAGGAATAGATTTCAAACTAACCACTCCTTTTATTTTTGAAATTTTGAATCCATCAACTTTAAACATTTTATTCAATTTACATGTTGTCAATTCTTCAAATAATTTTTTATTATTAGCATAATAGTCATTAAATTCTTCAACAGATGAAAAAATTTTTATTTCAGTAATTGGTTTAACAACGTTTATTTTTTGTTGAACATCTTCAAATTCGCACCATTTGATTTCTTCTGTTTTGATGAGAAATTTAAACCTAAATTAAAGAATAAAGCTGAAGAAAAAGCACATGAGAAGAAATTATAGTTAGTATGGTTAACTTGGGTACGGCGGCACTGCGTTCCACCTTACCCAACTTAACCTTAAATATTTACAAAACCATCTGACACATAAATGACTTCACTAATGACTTCACTAACGACTTCACTAATGAAAAATAAACGTTCTCACTAACGTTCCCACTAATGTTCTCATTTACAAAAGTATTGCAGCGCTTCCCATTGCTGTGCTTCACACAATAGTTCATATTCTTCAGTATCGCTGCTGTCACTCCAATCGTCAGAGTCAAAGTCACTGTCAAAATAAATGTTAGTAAGTTTTGACAAAGCTAATGAAACACGCTTACCGTTTGTATCTATTGCTTTTATATATCTCCCATTATGTTTGTTGTCATAAACGCTCAAACTAACTTTACCCTTTCTCCCTCGTATCTGATAGAATGTATTTTCACGAGGAACGAAGAACAAATTCTTGAACTCATGACCGTTGTAGTTTGTTATCTCAATAGTTTTCGTCATTTATATAAAAATAAAATAAAAATAAAATAAAAAATAAATGATATCACCACCCTCACACGTATGAAAACATAGCCCAAAAATAATGTTTAGGGTAGATGGTTAGATCTAACCTCATTTCTACCCTCATTTCTACCCTGTTGAATTCATTGCTTTATTCCTCACTGTCGTCTGCTTTCTCCAACTCTTCTAGCTTCTTCTTAAGTTCAGCAATGTTGTCCTCATGAAGTTTAATCTTTCTCAAAATTCCTTCTTTATCTAATGGTTGCTTTATCTTTCTAAACTGAACTCTACCATCCTTCATAGTATGAATATAAAAACCTTCTGGAATAATTCCTGATTTAATGTATTCTACCAAAAACTTTTGTTTCATTGCTTCAGTGACTTTATTTGTCATTTCAATCAAATAAAAATTTTAATATTAAATAAAAATAACGTTATTTTTCAGTAAGGAAACGCAGGAGTTTTACGATTTATTTGAGGAGTAGGTTCTGGTTTAAATGTTGGAGTCGGTTTAGGAGTTGACTTTTGAACAGGAGTTTGTACTTTCATAGGTTCAGGAGTCATTGAAGGTTTTGCTTGTGAAGGTGTTGAAGTTTGTTTAACTTCAGCTACTTCAGTATTATTTACAACATTTGTTTTATTTCTTTTCAACATCATAACTGCTCCTGCTGTAGCTAGCAAACCTAGTGGGAGACCATATCTTATATAAGGACTTGACCAAATGCTATTTTTGACAGGAGCTGGTGGAACACCTAACCTTGGTGAGACTGCTCTTTGCCATTGTGCAGCTCGTAAGAAATATTCAATAGGTGCTCCATAATCGTTTGGTAAAGTTTGTTTCATAGATGGTGAAGGTTCACGAGAGCTTGATGAAGAACTCATTTATAAGCTTTAAAAATAAACGTTCATCCTTTATTCCTCACTGTCGTCCGTAGCTAAGTTATAGTCATCTAATCTTATTATGGGGATGCCATTAGCACGCACCTGAATGGCAAAGCAACAATCCCTCATAAATCCAATAAGTGGCTTTGGTACGTTTTCAGTTGCTAGTTCAATAGGTCCTTTAACAGACAATTTGTATGTTATTGGAGCAGTAGATGTTTGACCTTGCTGGAAGCAAAAGTCCACTTCTGTTGGAAAACCACATAAGAAATGTGTGTTGTCATAGCTATCCCATTTATGTTCCACACTACCATCATCCACCAATGACCTCATAACATCTTCATTAAATCCTATCATATCATTGTTTGTATTGCAAGCGTTCGCAACCATTTCATAAAATACAGGTCCATATGATTTTTCAGGTTCTGCAGGCATATTTCCATAAGCTCCCATGGAAAGCTGAAGATATTTAAACTTAGGGTTCTCAAAATTAACATAATAGTTGTCTTTCTTTCTAAATAGTGCCCAAATACTTTTAACATTAATAGGCGTATAAGCTGCTGTAAATGTTGCACTTGAACTATCTGTATTCTTTGAGAATGAACCGTCCATAGGAATCCAATCCATAACTTTAACAGGAAAACATAAAGCCTCGTTTGTATAATGTTCTACAAGTTCTGTATAAATGTTAGGGTCTAAAGAGAATGACTTTGGATGAATGAAACATTCATTAAAATCCATCTTTGTTCGAAATAGTTGCTGGGTTACAGTTGTAATAGTAACTGTTCCACTAGTTTCTACTGCCTTCGTTATCATAGTGAATGGTTCATTCCATGGAACAAATTTATTTGTCGGTGGATTTGAATCTGAAGCAAATGCAACTTTAAGAGTTGGATTGAAAGCAATGGTATCATTTACAGATATAGATGTGCATTGTAAGGCGTCGCTACTGAACTTTACTTTAAGCTGAATGTTTCCTGTAAAAGCTGGAATAAATCGAATAGTTTCTAATGGAAGGAATCTTCTAACAGGAATTCTTAAACGAAGCTTAAAATCAAATGATTTTCCTGCTGTAATTGGACCACTAACAATTTGTCCTGTTCTGCATGTTCCCGAATGACTCCATACATCTTCATGTCGAGTCTTTGAGAAAACATACTTTCTTTATTTGTTCGGTAGTTTGTGAGTTTGAAGTTATATATGCTTCTTCTCTTGCGTTGTCTTGAGAATATACGATACGACCATTTGCAAGGATTTGATATCCAGCAACTGCATAGAAAGCGTCATCGAAACCAATCCAAAATCCTGGTGGGTTTGTTTTATTGGAACCTGAACCAATTTCTTTATCTACAATAAATTGACCTTCCATTTTATACGTAATGAATGTATTGTAAAGGTCCAACATATTTTCACCAGGAGGTGAGAGATTGAATGTTACCCATGTGTTATCTTTAGCAGTTCCAGGTTGTGATGGAATCTTTGCGTCAGAATATTTTCTATTAGTGTCACCAATTTGAACTGCATTGTCTATGATATCGAAATATGAGCGAATCTGATGAATATGCTCTGCTGGAGTAAATTCGTTTAACTGTTCGTTCTGCATGTATTTACTTCAGATAAAAATATCTATTTACTTCATTATTCTCACTCTTCTTCTTGGCATTCGTGGTGGAAGTTGTTTCTTGACATTTTCAATGAACTGTACATTCTCTTTTGTCTCAACTTCTTTCACTGGTGGGTCAGGGTTCTTTGACTCGGTTTGCTTTTCAATGAAATTCACGAACTTTGCAATAAGCTCTTGGTTCGTTATTGAAAGTACATCTGGCTTCTTTTCTTCTTGTTCTATTGGTGGCTCAGTTTGTACAGAAGGTTTTATATGGGCTTCGTGGGCTTCGCCCTTGCCATGCACCTTAATGTTGTCGCTCTCTGTATTCGCTAATGGAACCTTTCTTTTTCTTACATATATTTTACCATCTTTACTCTGACTTACATAATAGAAAGGATGTTGTATTCCTCTGGCGTCATTTAATATAGGGTGTCCAAAGGTGCGTTTAGCACAGCGCTCTATATGAGACTATTAAAGGAGATATATGCTGATTATAAATATATAATAAAAAATATGAATATATGTATATGATGAGTATGTTGTATTTTGGCGCCATGCCGGGATATAAAATGAATTTTGAGACAAGAGGCGGTTTCGCGGGAAATTTTGGCGGGATTTTTTTCATTTTTTTAATGAATCATAAAGAAAACATCCTCGCTCTTGCAAAAAAATGCAAAGACTGTAAAAAAATCTACGAGACATTGGTAAAATGCTTCGGTATGGATGCTCCTAGCTATTCCACTGTAACGTATCATGTTAGGATGTATCACCTCATGAACAAAAAGGCGCCCATCATAAAAATTGACAAAAAATCGCCGGATCAAAGAAAAATCAAAGCAATTCTTCAAGCGCTAGATGAAGACCCAAGAGCATCACTCAGAAGGATAGAGGAGATGACAAAGATACCACGTACAACAGTCAGTTATTATCTGCACAATTATTTGAACTACAAACTAGCGTATACACGTTGGGTTCCGCACAACCTTAATTCAGTTCAAAAAAAATCTAGAGTCCAATCTTCGAAAGAGCTCCTCTCTATATTGGGTGCGTATCAATCCAAGAAGTTTCGCTTTTTAGTAACAGGGGACGAGTCTTGGTTTCAATGTGCAACAGAAGCCAAAATCATGTGGATCCCGAAGGATGAAAATCCGCAAACATTCCCGAAGAAAAAAATTGACACACCAATGATGATGTTGTCGGTTTTTGGGGGCGTGAATGGCATCATCGCAATTGATATTCTTCAAAAACCTAATACGATGAATGCTCAGTATCTAATTGACAATGTTCTTACTCAAATTATCAATTCTGATGAATTTGAGAAATCCAAACAACAAAAACAAAAGTTTGCAATTCATTTTGATAATTCAAGAGTTCACAAAAGTCATAAGGTAATGAATTACTTGTTGGAAAACAATGTCAAAGTTGTTCCAAACCCAATTTATTCACCTGATATTGCACCCTCTGACTTTTATTTATTCGGCACGCTAAAAAAGAGAGCTGAAGGACGCGAATTCGCGAGTCCAGATGATCTTGAAAATTTTGTAAGAGAGCAATTTGAGCAATTTTCTCATGATGATTTAAAGCGTGTCTTTCAAGCCTGGATCGATCGCTGCGAACGCGTGATTGAATCCAATGGTGATTATATTTAAATAAACTTTATATATATGTAACTTGTTTATTTCTATTCGCAGTATTCAGGTTTGTGCTAAACACACCTTTGGACACCCTATATAATAGACTCTCGTTCTGATTTTGACAAGCTCATTTTACATCGGTTAAAGTTTTAATTTAGTTTTTTATCTACAGTCAAATGACTCAGTCAAATCCTACGGACAAGACCCAAGGGGTCATAGATGTTGAAGCATTGAAGAAAGAAATTCGTGAACAAATTTTATCCGAACTGAAGGAACAAAAACCAGAACAAAAGCCAGAGAGACCAAAGAGAAAACTTAGTGAAAAACAACTTGCTGCATTAGCTGCTGGAAGACAAAAGAACCCACGTTTGCTGGCAAAGAAAGCTAGAGAAGAAGCTGAAGCAAAAGCTAAAGAAGCTGAAGCAAAGAAAGAGTAAATGGTTTATTTTTATCCGAACTAAATGTATAGACAAATACCTTTATCTGTTGCGTTCAGTAGTGAAAACCCTGACGTCAAAATAAAGGGGAACAGAGTAACGTTTAAGTTTCCAACAGACTGGATTGTGAACATAAATGAAGAGAAGTACATTGGCATAACATCTATGTATATAACACGTGCTTTCAGAAAGGTTGACTTTATACTTCAAGTCGAGATAGAAAATGACGAACAAAGATGTTATACAGAAATTCTTACCAAAGGTTGAAGAAGCTTCAATTGACATTGACGAAGGAAGTGAAATGGTTGAAGAAATTGACCCTGAAGCTATTTAAGCAAAAATAATTAATTTTTGAAGAACTGGAGGTGCTACCATGCTACCATGTGCTACCAGGTAATTTAACTTCTCTGAAAAAGTGTGACAACATGACATTTTGACAACAACACAGGAGGAAGGTAGTTATGAATTATTTTTGAAGAACTGGAGGTGCTACCATGCTACCATGTGCTACCAGGTAATTTAACTTCTCTGAAAAAGTGTGACAACATGACATTTTGACAACAACACAGGAGGAAGGTAGTTATGAATTATTTTTGAAGAACTGGAGGTGCTACCATGCTACCATGTGCTACCAGGTAATTTAACTTCTCTGAAAAAGTGTGACAACATGACATTTTGACAACAACACAGGAGGAAGGTAGTTATGAATTATTTTTGAAGAACTGGAGGTGCTACCATGCTA